GCCCCCCCGCCGTGGCCGGGATGGAGCCCCCCGCGCCGCCCCCGTCCCGGCCCTGCTGCCTTTGTCGGGCGTTTTGCATGTGAAAGGCGCCGGCGGCCGGCGGGGTCGCCATAGCGACGGGACAATGGCCGCGGGGGCCCGGCGGGGCGGACGGGCCCGGCCCGCGGAGCCCCCCCCGCGGCGGCCGCCCCGACGGCATCCTTAAAGGGGAAACGCGCCCGCGGCCCCACCGGGGCAGGTCCCGTCCCGACGGCCGGCACCTCCCCACTGGTGTGGTCCCACAGCACCGGACCCCTCCCCACGGCCGGCACCCCCCCACTGGTGTGGTCCCACAGGGCCGGACCCCACCGGGGCTGGACCCCTCCTCACAGCCAACATTCTCCCCACTGCGGGTGGCCGCACCCTGGGAGCCCTCAGTCCCAAAGGGCAGCATCCCGCCACTGGTGTGGTCCTGCTAGGGCTGGACCCCAGAGCAGCCCCCTCATCTCAGCAGCCTCCATGCGCCCCCCGTGCTCGGCCCCCACTCACCTGATGTAGCCCACCTGGGGCCTGTGTGCCAGCTGCCAGCGGTAGGACGTCTTGTCCCGCCAGCCCACGTTGCGGGGGTCCTTCCAGAGCAGGCGGACGTGGTCGGGCGTGTGGCCCGTGTGCCACAGCGCGTTGCGCAGGTGCTCCCCAGGGCCCGTGGAGGACTTCACTGCCTGCGGGTGCACGGGGCGTCAGGGGGGGACAGGGTCGGGGGGGCCCAACCCAGCCCATTGGGTGGCCAGCACCCACCTTGAGCTGCAGCCCTGGCTCCGCCACGGCCCGGAAGGGGGTGGCCTGCCAGTATGTCTGCTCCGTTTGCTTCCACATCACCACGTAGAAGCTGGCACTATCTTGGTAGCTGAAGATGAAGCCGGCATAGTCATCGTCGGTGACAGTGTTGACATGGAAGGTGCCCTCGAAGTCCACCCCGTTGAAGGCCGTGTAGCCTACAGGGGGGCAAATGCTGCAAGGAACCCTCTCCCGCAGCACGGGAACCCGCACACCATTCTACTCCAGCCCACCCTTTACCCCTCTGTGGGGCAAAGAACTGTCCCTCACCCTCCAGTGCAGGGGGACAGGAGGGAGGGGGCTGCCCCACGGGGTCTGCAGGTGGGAGAGCATCTCTTACCAACAGCCAAGCCCGGGTCACTGTTCATGGTCTGCACAATCTCCATGCCCTGTAGGGGACAGCAGGGTGAGGGGTGTCCCCAGCAGCGCTGGGCTCCCACCCCAGCAACGCAGCCCCCAGAAACATGGGGGGCAGCACCCACACCTGGTTGAGAACAACCCAGTTGGGATCAATCTGGGCATCCCCCTCTGGGTCGAGGATGACAGTCTGGTAGGCACGGAAGTCAGTCAGTGTCACCTCGGCGCTCTCAGGGCACACGTCCAGCTGGTCCACCACCGTGTCGTTGTCGAAGTCCTCCTCGCAGACATCGCCCACACCGTTCCCTGGGGACACACTCTCCAGTCAGGGTCGGAATGAACCCAGGCAGCTCTGTCTCCTTGTGCCCTCCCTGCACTCACCATCCGAGTCCTTCTGGTTGGGGTTAGGGATGAGGCGGCAGTTGTCTGGGCCAGGTGCCGTGTAATCAGGGATGCCATCGTTATCATCGTCATTGTCACATTCATCCCCCAGCCCGTCATTGTCTGAGTCCAGCTGGGAGCTGTTGGGGATCTCGGCGCAGTTGTCCTTGGTGTCCTGATGCCCGTCCCCATCGCTGGAAGCAAGAACAGGGTCAGAGCAGGGCCGCATACAGGGAGCCTGGCACCATGTCCCAGCACCCTCACTGACCCCGAAGACCCCATCATCCCACCTCGCAGGCCCCCAAGCTGGGAGCGCCCAGGGAAGGGACAGGACGGGGAGGTGACCCCGCAGCAGCATGGTCCCCACCTGTCCTCGTTGGTGTCACAGATGTCTCCTACCAGGTCGCTATCCATATCTGTCTGGAGGAGAGCAGAGCCCAGTTCAGTGGACACACCGGGGCCAGGGGGCCCAGCTGCGCCCCCCTAACCCGGGTAGGGTTGTGTCCCTCCATGCCCCCTGCCCCTGCCTGGCCATACCTGAGTGGGGTTACTCATTTCAGGGCAACTGTCACAGGCATCCCCGACACCATCCTCATCCCGGTCGGTCTGCAGAGGGTTGGGCACCTTAGGGCAGTTATCCAGCATGTTGGGGATCCCTGCAAGGACAGTGCTGGGTGGATGCCCTCACCCACCGGCTTGGCGTCACAGTGTCCCTGCTCTGCCAACAGCTCCAGCCCCGTGCTGCCAGGCCAGCCCCCAGACCCGCTCACCGTCCCCATCGATGTCGTTATCGCAAGCATCCCCCTCGCCGTTGCTGTCTGTGTCCCGCTGGTCATTATTGGGCACGTTGGGGCAGTTGTCGCAGGCATCCCCGAAGGAGTCGGTGTCTGAGTTCTGCTGGTCCTTGTTGGGGAAGAGCCGGCAGTTGTCCTGTGGCGAAGAGGGCAGGGACACCCGTGCTGCAGTGGCTAGCAGACAAGAAGCCGCAGTCCTGCACAGGTCAGGGCAGGACATCTCCTCCAGCACACCCAGTAAGACCATCCCAGAGCCGTAAGCCCTGGCCTGCTGATCCCCAGAAGTATCTTGAGGGCATCAGCATAAAGCCAAAGGGAGAAGCCCCCTGCCCATCATGTCCCCCAGACCACAGGCACATCCTGCCCACTCAGCTCAGCCACCTCTACATTCTTGATGCCATCACCGTCAGCGTCATCATCACACTGATCTCCGATGCCATCATTGTCAGCGTCCTCCTGCCCTGAATTCGGTGTCAGGCGGCAGTTGTCCTGCAGGCACAGCCAGCATTAACGACGGGGAGGAGATGAGGTCTGAAGCACAGCCCTGCCATGGGCTCCCCAAGCCTGAGGATGCCACCCTCCCTCTCCGGGAGCCCACCTGCTTGCAGTGCTTGTTGTTGTCGATGCAGGGCAGGGGCTCGTCTGGGTAGCCATCGAGGTCCGTGTCTTGCCCACACACGTTGCCATTGCCAGCCCAGCCCACGTTGCACTGAAGAAAGAGGAAATCAGGGGCTGGGAAGCGTGGAAGAGCCCAGGTGGGATCAGCTGCTACCTGTGCCAATACCCCCTGAACCCTCCCTTCGCCATCCTCCAGCCCCGTCTCTCACTCACCGCGCAGGAAATTTCACCGTTCCTCTCGAACACGCAGAAGCCATTGATGTCGCAGGGGTTGGAGGTGGGAGTGCTGCAGGACTTCTGAGGGACGCAGCCAGATGTCTGATTCCCCACAAACCCTGACTTGCAGGGACCACACTTGTAGGAGCCCTGGGAGAGAAAGGGCAGGGGCAGGATTCGGGGAGCAGAACAGCCACGGGCACCGGGCAGGGGAGCGGGGCAGCTTTGCTCACCAGTGTGTTGGTGCAGATGGAGTTGGGGTCGCAGCCCCCGTTGTTTCCATCGGTGCATTCGTTAATATCTGTGCAAACCTGTGAGCAGCGCCAGGAGAAGCCGTCACCCAGGGCCTTTCCCTGCAGCTCTGCCCATTCCCGTCCCAGGAAAGCCGCCCTTCTCCAACGGGCAGAGCATCCTCCACCCATCCCCGCAGCTCAGCAGCCCAGAGCACCCACGGGGACCTGGCCGAGTCCCACAGCACCACACTCACCTGCTTGCTGGCCCTCGCGTAGTCTACCCCCACACCAGAGATGGTGTTGCCTCGGTAGCCACGGGGACAGGGCTCGCAGCGGAAGCCAGGGGCTGTGTTGATGCACTTGGAGCCAGGAAAGCAGGGGTTGGCATGAGCACACTGTGGCATAGGGAGAGAGAAAGGCTTCAACCCCGGGCACGGCATCCTCCTGCATGTCAGGGTGTCTGGGCAAGGCTCCTCCCCAGCTTGAGGATGCATCCGGAGAGGGGAAGCATCGTCTCGGACGTTGCCTCCTGACCTGTCCCGGGACTATGCCCACCTCATCGATGTCAGCGCAGTGTGTGCCGTTGCCCTCCAGCCCCGGCGGGCAGGGCCCGCAGCGGTACCCAGGGTACTCGTACGTCTCCATGCAGTCCACGCCGCTGAAGCAAGGGTTGGGGTTGCAGCGGGACCGGTGCTCATGGAAGCCTGAGAAGAGAGTGGCCGGGCAGGGGGTGAGATGGGGCAGCCCTTGGCCCCCTGGGGTGGGCGCGGAGCCTGCCAGCACTCACCGCAGACCTGGCACTCCATGATGGTGTTGCGGATCAGAGACATCTCCTTCACCTGCAAGGCAGCAGAGCACAGAGCATCAGGGGGACACAGTGTGCAGGCTGGCACTCTACACTTGGGCATCAGCCTGGGGACAGCTGATACCACCCCAGCACCTCACCTGGTCCCTAATGTCTTCTCGCAGCTCGGTCAGGACCCGGTTGAAGAGGGTCAGCTGCGTGACCAGCGCCTTGGTCTGCTCACCTGCCAGAAGCAGACGGGACAAGGTCAGCCTCAGGACAGCCACAGCCTCCTGGGGCTGTGGGCTGGGGACTGCTCTCCCCCGGGCACCAAACCGGGAGGACAAGACACCCAACAGCCATTCCTCCTCCTCCCTAGCCCACACAGGACCCTTTCCCCATGGCACAGCCCATGTCCTTGGATTCACCCCATTCTGGGGAGCCCTGCAGGCCCCCAGGGCGCTGGGACAGGCTGCACAGGGTTCTCTGCCCCTATGGAGCCCCAAATGCTGCTGTCGCCCTCATGCCAGGGAACAGGGGAAGCAAAGTGGGGACTTACCCAGGATGGAGGCCAGCACACTTGTCACTGCAAGAGGAGAGATGAGATATTACCAAACGCTGCCACCAAAGCCCAGCAGCGTCACCTTGCACGGTTGCTCCTGGTCAGCGCGTGCACAGCACAGGAGCTCCCACCTGCGTGGGGATGCGGGACCAGGAGAGGTAGGAGCACCCCTCTGTGCACCATGCTGTCACCTCACACCTCTGTGTGCCACTGCCTGGGTGACCCCATTACCTGCACTGTGGATGGACTCATCTCCTTGGAAAGGGCACTCGCTCAGGGCCCCAACACGGCTCATGGACCCTCCCAGGATCAGCTTCATGGACTCCACGAACCCCTGATGTACAAGGGGAGACATGGTCAGCCATGGGGGGCTCTGCCTGTCCCTGAGGGCACAGAGCGGGGAGGTCTCGGCCCCCCAGGGGGTTCCAGCACTCACCTGCATCCTCTGGTAGGCCTTCTGCCCCGTGCGCACCTCGATGGACTCCACCTCTGCCAGGGGGATTTCCGACAGCTCGGGCAGCCCCACGCTGGAGTCCATCTGCTTGCAGTCGACGTAGAGCTCCATGCTCAGCATGTCCCCGCGCAGCCCGCTCAGGCGCACGATGATGGTGTGGCTCTGCCCGTCCGCCACGTGCGCGTGCTGCAGGTTGACCGAGTGCAGCTTGTTGTCTTCCCGCAGGTACCGCACCAGGACTGTGGAGGAGCAGAAGGGGCCATCAGCTCTCTCCCTGCGGTGCCGACAGCCCCCAGGACCCACGTGCAGCCACTCCTCTCCCCAGGAGACCCCGTGGGCAGCAGGAACTGGGTCCCTGTTTCTCTCTGCGCATCACGGCAAGAGCAGGGCCAGCGTGTCCCCGCACAGCAGGCACCCACCTTTGTTGATTTTCCCCACCACAGAGACCTCCAGCCACTTTGTGTTGTCCTTCTTGGAGTAGAGGCCGAAGAGGGTCCCCCCCTGCTTGGGGGGGAGGCGGAAGGTGGAGAGGAGGTAAACATCGTTCACTGTCAGGAGCTCCATCCGGATCTTGTGCGTTATGCTGGCCATCTGCCGGGCCTCGCTCACCATCAGCAGGTCGATGACTGTGGGTAGTCAAGCACGGGGGTCGCATCCCGGCCGTACAGCCGCCCCTCCCGCCGCAGGAGTGCGGTGATGCCCGGTGCAGGGCCCCGCGGCTCGGCCTGCTGCAAGCCTGGCGGCACCGACGGGACGGGACGGGAATTCCTGGCCCACCGGGCCCCGGGGGGGCCGAGGAAGCCCCGAGGGCTCCGGGCCCCGCCCAGCCCCGGCCCCGCGCGGTGGCGCTCCAGGACCGGCAGCGCCGAGAAGGACCGGTGGAGCCCCCGCCACCGGCGGGACC